TCTTCGTTTTTTTTTGTTTTTTTTTGTCCAAACTCGACAATGCGTTATTTTAATCTACCTAACAATCTTCTTAAAGAGGGGGGGGGGGGGGGGCAACTGTTAGGTAGATCCAAAAATGTATTTAAAATCCATTCATACTGAATGAATGATTAAAACAGACGCACTTTGAAAAAATTAAAAAAGTTTTTCTTCAGTTATTTTTTATATCTCGTTAAAATATTTCACACAAAAAACTTGACCTCATCCACAGCAAAAAAAAAGCACTTATAGTGATAGAAAATGATTAAAATATCATTCACAACTTTTTGCGTATCTGTATTGATTTTGCAAATTTATCTGCGGCCAAAAAACGAATAGCTTTTGACGAAGAGATCTCGGATGTCATAATACTAAATCACAGTTTTTGGACAAAATTTACGAATTTGGAAACAATTTTGTTTATTGACTTGTATAAGCAATGTTGATTGCGTTAAATTGGGTATCAAAATTCAGGCATCTGTCTTCTCTTAACGCAAAATTGCAAATCAAACGATGGAGATAAAAGTCAAGTGTTGGCTCCAGTGCGAAGCTTTGAATTGTTCTCATTGATCCTCGAAACCGAACCGAAATGTTTTCACGAATCCGAAAAGTCATACCATTTATACCAACGAAACTACCCATGATGAAGAAACTATCGAATCCAATAAAGTGACGTTTCAAACTGGGTTCTGGGAGACTTGGTCAGAATGGAAACCTATTTTTGAGGACACTTGCGCAGAAAAAGTGGTAGTCGGAACAAATCAATCCAGGAACTGCAAATTCGACCCCAAGATTTGTCGTCTGGAACTGAACCTTCTTGTGAGGGCGAGAAGATTCAAACTCAACGGAAGACAGTTCGAGTATTCGATGGAGTTGACATGAAAGAGCAATCTATTCAAGTTTGCACAGATAAAAATCTGAAGCTAATCTCAAGTCTTTAGTTTTTGTGCGATGGATCTGGCTTATTGTCCAAAAACATGGTTTTCTGGACTGATTTTACAAAAAATGGAGACTTCTTTCACGACACTTCACATAAGACCCATCTGTACCAGAACAATAGCGTGTGGGGAGACCTTCAACATTTACCATCTTTTTCACCAGTGCTGAATATTGTGATCGTGTTGAGAAAAATCTGCTCGGAAAACTGAAGGTGAAGGATATGAGCTGCGATGGTCGGTTGATGATTTTGTGGCTGCAAGTCAAAAAAATTGTCTGTGACAATTTTGAGTGAGAACAAAAAATTAATCAAAACATTTCGAGATCCGAGGTGAAACATTGTTTCAAATGTGCTGCATAGTACCTCAAAATCTTTAAGTAGTTAAATTTGATTGGGTGTAATTTTTTAGCGGTAGTCCAAGTAATCCTGATAATTCCGACCACTAATTGCAAGGGTACTGCAAGCTATCGCTGTAATATCAGATATGGGTGCCTTTTTGTACCTAAAACAGACTCTTTCAGTCCTGATTGCAGCACAGTGTGATAATTCGAAAACACCATTCTGAAAAATTTAAATGAAAGCTTTTCTTTTTTGTTTAGCTTCTGGCTACATAATTAAACTTATGACACTGATGATTTCTCCAGACACTTCTGACGGAATCTATTGTTTTTGTTGGAATAAAAATCAATTTCCGTATTTTTGTTTGTTAATTAAGCTATATATGACTAGTGATTGAAACTTACGCTCAAGTCCTCCCCATTCTATAATAGACAAAAAATCATTTAACCAGTCAAATGAAGTCAAAGCAAAACTAACTTTTTTGTTTTAAAGTAGATAACTTAAATCTGAAAATCATGAGCCGAATCCAGAAAAACCGGCTAATTTTGTAATTTTTTCTGTTGCAATTGAATATTTCAGATTCACATTCAAATGTTTCAAATTCCACAGAAAAAATTAACTGCGATTTTCTGATCTTGTGTTTTTCCGGGTTCAGTGCAAGCATCCGTTATTTCAAACATCCGAAAATGTGGCAAACATCCGAAAAAGAGATTTACTTGGACAAGCATCCGACGTCTTACAAAAATAAAAATGGGCAACATTTCCATGTCTGCCGTTCCCTTATAAGGTACTGTATTGACCGAAAGAAAAATGAGCGCTGCAGTCACGTCAACGTGTTGCGAGATTTCAAGTAGAAGGTAGCACTCTTTATGAAAAGTGCGCTCTTTACAGCCGGTTATCCTACAGTGACATGTTTGTAGACAATGCCTTTAAAAATTATTTTGCGCTGAAGTGGCCGAGATATCATTCTTGGTTTTGTTCCAAGCATTGAAATCCAAGCTTTGATTTCGGGTGTGCTTCAGTTTTTGTATTTATTGGTTCCGACCATTGAAAATGGGGAAGAACTTTGTATTCGGGCAAAATCAGGTACCTCAAATAATGATCGTACAGGGTTGAGTGATATATCATAGAATGGGGAAGAACTTTGTATTCGGGCAAAAACAAGTACCTCAAATAATGATCGTACAGGGTTGAGTGATCTATCATAAAAAAGCCCTCACAGTCGTGATTCGAACCACAAAAGAAAATTTTCAAAACAAATTTCCCCGTGTCGAGAAAAACCAGCAAGCTTAATAAAGTCTTATCTACCTGCTTAAAAGCTTACAATAGCTCAATTTAAAACGTAAGAACTTATTTTTACTTGAGTAACGATAGTTTACTTTGTTTAAGTATTTTAGCACCTTTTTTGAATCACAATTTTCATAAACTCAAGAAACTGCATAAAAGTTTTTTCCTTTTTCGTTTTCTAGTAATTTTTCTACAAAAATTTAATTTTAAATTTCTTATTTTTGTATGGCTGTTAAAAATACCGAATTGCTGTTTTTCGTTCATCTGCTCTTATCACACCACGCCGAAAATAACGACTATAATTTTAAAAAAACTTGGCTGTGTTTTTTGAGACTATGGTCGGAACATTCTGTGCTACTTGCACAGTAATCGGCTATTCTTGTTCAATTTGGTTTTCTTTCCGACAAGTCCTAAGGCTGTGTAGAAATTTCTTCAATTTTCAACTCTCGAAACAAACAAATCTACAAATTTTGGAGAGAAAATTGAGGAGACTTTTTGAGCAAGATTGATTATGGATTGATCAAGTGTTAGCGTTCTCCCAACATAGTGTTTCGAGCTATTAGCCAAAAAACCTCCAACTAAGTACTTGGTTCTCAGATGGTCACCATACCAGTCATTTAGCATACTTTTTCACATTTCATATTTTTTGAGCAAAATTTTTTTATACAAAAAACTTTAGATTTAAAAAAAAATGGCAACTGAATTTATCTGAATTTTACTTGTGATACCGTAAGTGACATGAAAAAGTACACTCGAATCCAAATTGTTTCTCGCGTTCCATGGTTAGAAAACTGATAATGAAAAAATTGTTCCAGGCTCTCAGAGCCCATCTTGATATCTTAAAGGCAAAAATTTTTCAAAAAAGCTCTTTTTGCTCAATTAAAAACTTCCCCTTGATAGTGTTCCAACCACAAAGTAATGTTTGACAAGTTATTTTTTCACATGATTATTTACAACTTTGTATAATTTCATCTTCTAGTTTTCTCTATCATTCTTCGTCGTAAGATTTTTTTCATTGCAAAAGTTTCTGAACAATATATTCAGTCATTGGTCTCCTTTGGTTTAGCAGACGCCCAGATTGACGCCTAGTACAATTTGATAATTCGAAATCTGCTCATTTGGCAAAACTGTGTGACTCTATGGTATCAACGCCCATTTTTTATGAGGATTGCAGGCTGCAGTTCAATCAATATCAAATTATTATCAATTTCTAGTAACTTTTTATTAACAATGAACAAAATTGCAATTAAAAACGAGAAAGAGTGACCTACTTGATGTTTCGATGCTGATTAAATATCTGCCTAAACTAGTCTATAGTCTGTCTCTAAAGCGGGCGTATATGTGACATTGAGTATACCTGAAATTGATAACTACGCAGTTTCCAAACCTTCATAATTTCGGATTTCTTTTTCTTTTTTCCTTCGGGACATCCATAATTTTCTAAAGTTGTAAGCAATATTTTGCTACAACAGTGAGTGAAATGTCGCCTTTTTATGAAAAAAAAACATGCAGAGCACAAATTATCTGTCATTTTCAAATATTGTTGATCTCATGTGTATCGCCGGCAGTAGCGGTGTGCATTGACGGTTGCTAAAACGATAAAAAAGCTAACATTGTCAAAAATGCCATTTTCCGGTCACATTAATTTAAGCCAAACATTTAAAAAGGAGAAATCGGAAACAAAAAGGGAAGATTAGTAAACTTTTTATTTTTGTTTTAGGGTTTTATCTGAACTGTTGATTGATGTGAATACATCAGAATGAAAGTTGAAATGCTGTAGATGTAGATATGAACTCGCTTATCTCGATCATTCATAAACTGAAAACACTCTGAAAAACGGAAATACTCGATCTAAGTAAGCTTCCTGACCTTTTTTGGAATTCAAACTACGGCCATTAAGGTTTTAATCTGATTTTACTTTTAAGCCTTAGGTGCATCTTTTCGCAAACTTAACTGTTGATTAAAAAATAAATTATAGCGTTTTGTGGTCGCCATTTGAGTTTCAAAGAAACGCTTTCAGATATAAAAAGCTTCTTAAACTTTGTTGGAGCTAGGCTCTTACTGTTACATAGTTTGGTCAGCAATTGACCGAGAAAACCTTTAGTTTTGGCATAATTTCGGATTGACCGAGAAAATTCCAAAATGATTGTTTTTAGGTTAAAATTTTGGGCTCGAGATTCGCAAACTAAATTGCACCACTTTAATTCTGCTAAAATTCTAAGCAAGATTTGTTTCATCATTTTTGTCTAAAATCAGCCAATTTAAGAAAAACGCATTTTCAAATTAAACTTATATTCGTTTTTTTCCGGATTATTTAAATTAGCTCTGTAGTTATTTGGCAACATTGAACAAAAAATACATAAATACAGCATGCATAAGGAAATATGTCTCATCATATATTTCGAAGTACCTGTTTTAGCACCACACGAAAGCTATTAGCAGCTTACTTCACAAAAGTCAGACTAAATTCAACCTCTACATCTTCGACGTGCAAAGGAGTTTTTGGGGGCAGGTGAGTTTTTCATTTTAAAATTTAAAATCACTATAAAACTAGTCAAGTGTTAATTGCAAGAAGAATATCAAAAAATATCAATTTTTTTTTGTAATTTGATGCAGCATGGCACTTGGAGCCGGAAGCGTGGGTTCGAATCCGACCATGAGCTGTTCCACCCGCCCACTCAGAACTTCAAGAAGATCAGAGTTGTCACTGTCGTGGTAAGTAGGTGCTCAAAAACGGCAAAAAAAGTTTGAATCAATATCAATATAGGTTGTATTCATATTTGCTTATCTCTGTAAGACTGTTTTTTAGCAAGTCTCCCCGTGAGATTCTCTGAAAATTTGCTCCCCTTTAGAGAAAATCCTGCGCATTACATTCACTAAATTTTTTCTAATGCAAATCAAAATTTCGTCACATTCACTGATATCACTTTTAATGTTTTTATAAAGCTTCAGAATTTTTGCTTAGCTCACAAAAGAAAAAACATTTCAATAACACTCGAAAACTTTTTGTCGAAAGCGTTTTTCCATATTTAGTTTTTTCTTTTATGTTTTGCAGGAGTCTCCCTTTGTGGAGGTGGACTCTGACGAGAGTGGCCAACTGGTGTTCAGTGGATTCTGTGTGGATCTGCTGGACGAAGTGTCCAAACAGTTGAACTTCCAGTACATCATGTACAATGCCTCCGAGTACGGCAGACTGGACGGACACTCGTGGGTGGGGGCTGTCGGAGAAGTCGCCTACAAGGTACGGCACAAATGAGATTTTTATCGCAATAGAATCTTCATTTTGGAAAACGAGAAAGTTATGCGCCCCGAAATGAATATGCTGCCAAAAAAACATTCTTTCGGCTTTAGAATATATTACCGGGTAACATATTCTAAAGGAGAAAGAATGTTTTTTGTGTTTTTTGGCTTTTCAAATAGAATACAAATTGGCAGTTATTACCATCCTAGAAAAATCAGAAAGTGTAATCAAAATCGGACTTTTAGTGTTCAATTAAGAATCGATGAGGTAGCCCTGAAAAAATAGGTATTTCGATGGAAATTTGTAAAAACGAATTTTCTTTTCGATTTTTTGTGAGTTTTCATAAAAATGCATTTTCTCTTTCGTGTATAACTTTCGATTGATTTTTGATATTCTATTTTCAACAACCAGATTGTGTTTAGTTATTTTTTATGTTGTTGCGTGTAGCGTGCGGACATAGCAGTGAGTGGGATGTTGATCACCAGTCAGCGGGAGGAGGCGGTGGACTTCAGCACCAGATTCATGGACTACGGGGTCGGCATCCTCATCCGCAAGACCACCCCCTCCCAGACTGTGTTCGGGTTCCTGCAACCCCTCAACCCACAAGTGTGGACATGTGTGGCCAGTACGTTACAATATACTTCAGTTTTGGATTGATTTTGGTTATATTCCAGTTTTCGCTACTTTGTACAATGTCAAAACAAATGCTGACTAAATATTGTTCATCTCTCAATTCGAAATTTAGGATAATTACTCAAATTTTAATAAACTAAGTCCTTAAAGTCAAGTCATTTTAAATTGCATTTAAGTTTCTAATTTTCAAAAAACTAGCAAACATCACAAATGCGAAAAGCAAAGGAGTAATTGAGAAAGAATCATGATTTTGAAAGGTAAAGTTAAATAAAGATCGTTTTTATACTCTGACAAAGCAAAAAATTCGAAAAATGTTTTTGTTCGTTTTTTGAAAGAAAAAACTTTTTTCTCAAAACTACACTTTTGACGAACTTCATTGAAAATGTAATTGCAAGTCAAAAATGCCCCTCTTTGATTTCACTACGTAGGCACAATCTTCATTGCTGGTGGTGTGATGTTCCTGGTGACTAGAATCAGTCCCAACACCAGAGGGAGACACTATAATAGACATGGCCATAGTCATGGACATGGACATAGTATGCAGGATAGATATGTGGACCCCCTCAGTGACTACTCCCAATTCACCTTCCGCAACTCCATCTGGTTCACCATGACATCCATCATGCAACAGGGTACAGTTTTTACCCCCTCTTCCTCCGCCAACTCCCCCCGTGCAAAGTTTCAACTGTACTACTCTGACTTAAAAATTTTCAGCGTGCTAATTTTTATTTGCAATAATTTGACTTCAAAAATTTCGCCGTGCTAATTTTTTTTTGCATTAATTTGACTTCAACATTTTCAACGTGCCACTTTTCAGGTGTTCTATTTTGACTTAAATATTTTTTAACGTTCAACTTTAACGTTTAAACTTTGACGTACGTAGAAACTACGCACATATATATTTCACTGTACATTTTTTATTGTATTGTGGTTTCTGTATTTTGCAGAGGATCTATCGAAATGCTGTCAAACTTGTCTAAATCCAGTCTGTTTGTCATATTTAACCCCTTCCGAACTATATTAATTTTGTTGAACTAATCTTATTGTTTTTGCGCTTCAAGACCTTTTTTATTCCGTCCAGAACTTTCACGTGGTACCTTTTTTGCAGCCGAAATTGATTAGACTGTGGTAGACCTGAAGCTAGAGGGCAAGTGAGATCTCGTCCTCACACACTATCATTGCCATGGTAGGAAGGGGATCGATCACACAATCGATCTGACATTTTCAAATTGAACGCCTCACAACAGCGCTGAGTGCCATGCAATAATAATATTACAAATCTTACTAATGCATTAAAATGAATTGAAAAACAAATTCAAACACTTTTTTAGTTTTTCCTAATTTTACAAATGTTGCTGGTTACACTGGAAGCATGGTTATCTGCAAGATTTTGGGAAAAACGTTCTGCGCGCATTGATTTTGGAAAAACAAAAGACAAATTGACTATTTAACAAGCCACCCAACTAAAGAAGTTGTTCGTTACCCACGTTAGGACTATCTACAACCATTTCTCTACAATAAATGGTAATATATTGAAAAAACTTCAGCAAAGACAAAGAATAGTAGTATCTCAAACTTACACTAAACGGTTTTTGTTTTTGTGATAATTGGAAACTGATTAGTTTTTCGGTGAGAATTACACTTATACTTGAAAACAAAAAGTTTGGAAGCAAAACAAATCAAACTTAACGAGGAAAATTTTTTGCTGTGGAAGTCGCCAAAAAGGATCCGATCACGTTGACGAAAGCAATAAACTAAACAAAAAATAGCAGAAAAAAATCAAAGTAAAGTTGAAAATAAACATATTTAATAAAATTCTTATTTTTTCTTTCAGTAAAAAGCGATATAATTAGAGAAAAAAGTGCAAAAATTAGAAATAATTCTGGCTAAATAATGTAAAGTCACTGTAGATTTAAATTGAGTCTTTCAACGTTTCTTTTGTAAATTTTGTGTCATTTAGCCAGTTTTGTCTCAAAACAGAGTCAGTTATTTCGACTTCGAATCAAGGTTAAATAAGTTTCCTTATGATAAAACACTCGACCCCTATGAGCTTTTTGAGATTGGGGGTAATAAAAACACACGACGCCATAGTTCCTTCCCGGTTAACAGGACCGAATTCTCCTAAGTTTCATGATTGATTCGGAAAATATGTTTTTCATATACCGCGGGAACCCTTCCACTCATATGAAAGGATCTCTATGAAACTTTTATTTCGTGGTAAGAATTTGTGTTCAGATGAACCAAAGTGTTCAAGAGATCTCTCTTTTAGAGATTTTCTTATTGACACAAAATTAATAATCCATAAGATATAATTCGAATATAGAAAAATTGCAGCAAAATAAGAGACTATAATCAATTATAATCGATTATAATTGATTTTAAGGGTTTTTAGTAAGAACTATAATCAATTATAATCAACTATAATAGATTATAATCTCTTGGAAAATATCACGATTATAATCATTTATAAATCCCTTAAAAACCTAATTTTGGTAATTATAATCGATTATAATTGTCAAAAAATCATCATAATAATCCGTTATAATCGATTACTTACACCTAAACTTGGATGCGGGTAACTATTCAGCTCCGGACATAAAAAATAGTTCTGAAAAAGCCCAAAATTTATTTAACCAAAGACCTTGTTTATTTATTTTGATCTAGGAGGCGATCTGCACCCGAAGAGTGGAGCTGCACGCATCATGGGCTGTTTCTGGTGGTTCTTCACCCTCATCATCACAGCCACCTACACAGCCAACTTGGCCGCCTTCCTCACTGTGAACAGAATGGAGACCCCCATAGACTCCCTGCAGAGTCTGGTGGCCCAGAATAACGTCAAATACGGAACTGTCAGACACTCTCCCATACATCTGGGTAAGACCTTGATTCAAAAACGGCGGTTTTGAAGTTAACTTGCGGAACAACATTTACTTAAAATCAGAGGGGACCCTTTGGGTCGGCAGGGGGTCGAATCCTTGAGGTGGGGGGGGGTCCACTTCCCCCCTAAATTCGCTTTTGCTTGTATGCCTTTTTCTTGTTTTTAGACTTCAAGAACCAGTCTGAGATGAATGCTCTCTATGAGCGGATAGCGAACTACTTGGACCACCAGCACAGCAACAAGGACTCTATCCTTGTGGATGATGCCGAGGAGGGGTACAGGAGGGTGAGAGAGGGGGGATACGCGTTCATGTGGGACAACCCCATTCTACAGTGGATGAAGGTAAGGGTGATGTGGTAATGTTATATTATCCTCTATTCTGGTGCATGATGTAGAGGAGGGGTACAGGAGGTTGAGAGAGGGGGGATACGCGTTCATGTGGGAAACCCCATTCTCTAGTGGATGAAGGTAAGGGTGATGTGGTAATGTTATATTATCCTCTATTCTGGTGCATGATGCAGAGGAGGGGTACAGGAGGTTGAGAGAGGGGATACGCGTTCATGTGGGAAACCCCATTCTACAGTGGATGAAGGTAAGGGTGATGTGGTAATGTTATATTATCCTCTATTCTGGTGCATGATGTAGAGGAGGGGTACAGGAGGTTGAGAGAGGGGGGATACGCGTTCATGTGGGAAACCCCATTCTCTAGTGGATGAAGGTAAGGGTGATGTGGTAATGTTATATTACCCGGTATTCTGGTGCATGATGCAGAGGAGGGGTACAGGAGGTTGAGAGAGGGGGGATACGCGTTCATGTGGGACAACCCCATTCTACAGTGGATGAAGGTAAGGGTGATGTGGTAATGTTATATTACCCTCTATTCTGGTGCATGATGCAGAGGAGGGGTACAGGAGGTTGAGAGAGGGGGGATACGCGTTCATGTGGGAAACCCCATTCTACAGTGGATGAAGGTAAGGGTGATGTGGTAATGTTATATTATCCTCTATTCTGGTGCATTATGCAGAGGAGGGGTACAGGAGGTTGAGAGAGGGGGGATACGCGTTCATGTGGGAAACCCTATTCTACAGTGGATGAAGGTAAGGGTGATGTGGTAATGTTATATTATCCTCTATTCTGGTGCATGATGCAGAGGAGGGGTACAGGAGGTTGAGAGAGGGGGGATACGCGTTCATGTGGGAAACCCCATTCTCTAGTGGATGAAGGTAAGGGTGATGTGGTAATAATATATTTTCCTCTATTCTGGTGCATGATGCAGAGGAGGGGTACAGGAGGTTGAGAGAGGGGGGATACGCGTTCATGTGGGACAACCCCATTCTTCAGTGGATGAAGGTAAGGGTGATGTGGTAAAATTATATTACCATCTATTCTGGTGCATGATGCAGAGGAGGGGTACAGGAGGTTGAGAGAGGGGGGATACGCGTTCATGTGGGAAACCCCATTCTCTAGTGGATGAAGGTAAGGGTGATGTGGTAATGTTATATTACCCTCTATTCTGGTGCATGATGCAGAGGAGGGGTACAGGAGGTTGAGAGAGGGGGGATACGCGTTCATGTGGGACAACCCCATTCTACAGTGGATGAAGGTAAGGGTGATGTGGTAATGTTATATTACCCTCTATTCTGGTGCATGATGCAGAGGAGGGGTACAGGAGGTTGAGAGAGGGGGGATACGCGTTCATGTGGGAAACCCCATTCTACAGTGGATGAAGGTAAGGGTGATGTGGTAATGTTATATTATCCTCTATTCTGGTGCATGATGCAGAGGAGGGGTACAGGAGGTTGAGAGAGGGGGGATACGCGTTCATGTGGGAAACCCCATTCTCTAGTGGATGAAGATAAGGGTGATGTGGTAATGTTATATTACCCGGTATTCTGGTGCATGATGCAGAGGAGGGGTACAGGAGGTTGAGAGAGGGGGGATACGCGTTCATGTGGGACAACCCCATTCTACAGTGGATGAAGGTAAGGGTGATGTGGTAATGTTATATTACCCTCTATTCTGGTGCATGATGCAGAGGAGGGGTACAGGAGGTTGAGAGAGGGGGATACGCGTTCATGTGGGAAACCCCATTCTCTAGTGGATGAAGGTAAGGGTGATGTGGTAATGTTATATTACCCTCTATTCTGGTGCATGATGCAGAGGAGGGTACAGGAGGTTGAGAGAGGGGGGATACGCGTTCATGTGGGAAACCCCATTCTCTAGTGGATGAAGGTAAGGGTGATGTGGTAATGTTAAATTACCCTCTATTCTGGTGCATGATGCAGAGGAGGGGTACAGGATGTTGAGAGAGGGGGGATACGCGTTCATGTGGGAAACCCCATTCTACAGTGGATGAAGGTAAGGGTGATGTGGTAATGTTATATTATCCTCTATTCTGGTGGATGATGCAGAGGAGGGGTACAGGAGGTTGAGAGAGGGGGGATACGCGTTCATGTGGGAAACCCCATTCTCTAGTGGATGAAGGTAAGGGTGATGTGGTAATGTTATATTACCCTCTATTCTGGTGCATGATGCAGAGGAGGGGTACAGGAGGTTGAGAGAGGGGGGATACGCGTTCATATGGGACAACCCGATTCTACAGTGGATGAAGGTAAGGGTGATGTGGTAATGTTATATTACCCTCTATTCTGGTGCATGATGCAGAGGAGGGGTACAGGTGGTTGAGAGAGGGGGGATACGCGTTCATGTGGAAAAACCCCATTCTACAGTGGATGAAGGTAAGGGTGATGTGGTAATGTTATATTATCCTCTATTCTGGTGGATGATGCAGAGGAGGGGTACAGGAGGTTGAGAGAGGGGGGATACGCGTTCTTGTGGGAAACCTTATTCTCTAATGGATGAAGGTAAGGGTGATGTGGTAATGTTATTTATCCTCTATTCTGTTGGATGATGCAGAGGAGGGGTACAGGAGGTTGAGAGAGGGGGGATACGCGTTCATGTGGGAAACCCCATTCTACAGTGGATGAAGGTAAGGGTGATGTGGTAATGTTATATTACCCTCTATTCTGGTGCATGATGCAGAGGAGGGGTACAGGAGGTTGAGAGAGGGGGGATACGCGTTCATGTGGGAAACCACATTCTACAGTGGATGAAGGTAAGGGTGATGTGGTAATTTTATATTATCCTCTATTCTGGTGGATGATGCAGAGGAGGGGTACAGGAGGTTGAGAGAGGGGGGATACGCGTTCATGTGGGAAACCCCATTCTCTAGTGGATGAAGGTAAGGGTGATGTGGTAATGTTATATTATCCTCTATTCTGGTGGATGATGCAGAGGAGGGGTACAGGAGGTCGAGAGAGGGGGGATACGCGTTCATGTGGGAAACCCCATTCTACAGTGGATGAAGGTAAGGGTGATGTGGTAATGTTATATTATCCTCTATTCTGGTGGATGATGCAGAGGAGGGGTACAGCAGGTTGAGAGAGGGGGGATACGCGTTCATGTGGGAAAACCCATTCTACAGTGGATGAAGGTAAGGGTGATGTGGTAATGTTATATTACCATCTATTCTGGTGCATGATGCAGAAGAGGGGTACAGGAGGTTGAGAGAGGGGGGATACGCGTTCATGTGGGAAACCCCATTCTACAGTGGATGAAGGTAAGGGTGATGTGGTAATGTTATATTATCCTCTATTCTGGTGGATGATGCAGAGGAGGGGTACAGGAGGTTGAGAGAGGGGGGATACGCGTTCATGTGGGAAACCCCATTCTACAGTGGATGAAGGTAAGGGTGATGTGGTAATGTTATATTATCCTCTATTCTGGTGGAAGATGCAGAGGAGGGGTACAGGAGGTTGAGAGAGGGGGGATACGCGTTCATGTGGGAAACCCCATTCTCTAGTGGATGAAGGTAAGGGTGATGTGGTAATGTTATATTACCCTCTATTCTGGTGCATGATGCAGAGGAGGGGTACAGGAGGTTGAGAGAGGGGGGATACGCGTTCATGTGGGAAACACCATTCTCCAGTGGATGAAGGTAAGGGTGATGTGGTAATGTTATATTATCCTCTATTCTGGTGCATGATGCAGAGGAGGGGTACAGGAGGTTGAGAGAGGGGGGATACGCGTTCATGTGGGAAACCCCATTCTCTAGTGGATGAAGGTAAGGGTGATGTGGTAATGTTATATTATCCTCTATTCTGGTGCATGATGCAGAGTAGGGGTACAGGAGGTTGAGAGAGGGGGGATACGCGTTCATGTGGGAAACCCCATTCTCTAGTGGATGAAGGTAAGGGTGATGTGGTAATGTTATATTATCCTCTATTCTGGTGGATGATGCAGAGGAGGGGTACAGGAGGGTGAGAGAGGGGGGATACGCATTCATGTGGGACAACCTCATTCTACAGTGGATGAAGGTAAGGGTGATGTGGTAATGTTATATTACCCTCTATTCTGGTGGATGATGCAGAGGAGGGGTACAGGAGGTTGAGAGAGGGGGGATACGCGTTCATGTGGGAAACCCCATTCTCTAGTGGATGAAGGTAAGGGTGATGTGGTAATGTTATATTATCCTCTATTCTGGTGGATGATGCAGAGGAGGGGTACAGGAGGGTGAGAGAGGGGGGATACGCATTCATGTGGGACAACCCCAATCTACAGTGGATGAAGGTAAGGGTGATGTGGTAATGTTATATTACCCTCTATTCTGGTGCATGATGCAGAGGAGAGGCACAGGAGGTTGAGAGAGAGGGGATACGCGTTCATGTGGGAAAACCCATTCTCTACTGGATGAAGGTAAGGGTGATGTGGTAATGTTATATTATCCTCTATTCTGGTGCATGATGCAGAGGAAGGGTACAGGAGGTTGAGAGAGGGGGGATACGTGTTCATGTGGGAAACCCCATTCTCCAGTGGATGAAGGTAAGGGTGATGTGGTAATGTTATATTATCCTCTATTCTGGTGGATGATGCAGAGGAGGGGTACAGGAGGGTGAGAGAGGGGGGATACGCGTTCATGTGGGACAACCCCATTCTACAGTGGATGATGGTAAGGGTGATGTGGTAATGTTATATTATCCTCTATTCTGGTGGATGATGCAGAGGAGGGGTACAGGAGGTTGAGAGAGGGTGGATACGCCTTCATGTGGGACAACCCCATTCTACAGTGGATGAAGGTAAGGGTGATGTGGTAATGTTATATTACCCTCTATTCTGGTGGATGATGCAGAGAAGGGGTACAGGAGTGTGAGAGAGGGGGGATACGCATTCATGTGGGACAACCCCATTCTACAGTGGATGATGGCAAGGGTGATGTGGTAATGTTATGTTATTCTCTATTCTGGTGCATGATGCAGAGGAGGGGTACAGGAGGTTGAGAGAGGGGGGATACGCGTTCATGTGGGAAACCCCATTCTCTAGTGGATGAAGGTAAGGGTGATGTGGTAATGTTATATTATCCTCTATTCTGGTGGATGATGCAGAGGAGGGGTACAGGAGGGTGAGAGAGGGGGGATACGCGTTCATGTGGGACAACCCCATTCTACAGTGGATGATGGTAAGGGTGATGTGGCAATGTTATATTACCCTCTATTCTGGTGGATGATGGAGAGGAGGGGTACAGGAGGTTGAGAGAGGGGGGATACGCGTTCATGTGGGAAACCCCATTCTCTAGTGGATGAAGGTAAGGGTGATGTGGTAATGTTATA